AAGATACACTACTCTATACCAGTGTTTCTCAAACCTGAATATCCATCAGAATACTCTGGCAGGCTTGTTGAAACATGGATTGCTGGCCAGGTGCGGTGGCTCATGCCTGTAGTCCCAGCACTTTGGGAGGATGAGGCAGGCAGATCGCTTGAGCTCAGGAGTTCCAGACAAGCCTGGGCAGCATGGGGAAACCGTCTCTATGAAAACACAAAAATTAGCTGGGCATGGTGGCACACGCCTGTAGTCCTAGTTAGTTGGGAGGCTGAGGGGGGAGGACTGTTTGAGCCCAGGAGGTCGAGGCTGCAGTAAGCGGTGGTCGCCCCACTGCACTCCAGCCTGGGTGACAAAGTGAGACCCTGTCTCAAAAAACAAACAAAAAAACACAGATTGCTGAGCCCCTCCCCAAGAATGTCTTACTCAGTAGGTCTAGGTTGGGGCCTGAGTGTTTGTACCTCCTACAAATTGCCAGGTGATGCTGATTTTGATGGTCCACACACTGGGACCACTGTTCTATACCAAAATCTTAAGGTGGTTTCTCCCAATTTCTTGGTGTGAGTTGTACAAGTGTGCAAACCACTGTGAAAAGTAACAGCATGACATATGCAGTGTGATACACCTCCAGAGACTTGGATTCTAGCCCTTAATCTGTCATCAACCAGCCATGTGACCTGGATGAAGCACTTTACCTCTCTGGGCCTCACGTTTCTCATCTGCAAAATAAAGAGACTGATTTAATGACCATTAAATCAAAAAGCCTATATCTCATTCAAGTTTTCAGATTATCAACTAGCTCTGTTATCTCAGATTTGATAAGTGATTATGTGAAATCTAACCCGATATTTCTAAAACATTAGTGAAAGATTTCTCGAGTACATTTTATGATTATAAAGCAATAAAAACTCTTTTAAATCAATAAGCCAGAGCTAATACATCCAAATTAATATCACGCCATTCTATGTTACCCTGATACACCTAGTCCAACAATGCTGTCTTGCCCAAGATATTTCTGGATCTCTAGTATGTATCAACACCAGTTTTAAGGCCACACACACATAAAAACCAGTGTAATTACTTTAAAAATTATACCTCATTGACCAAATCCAGAAATTTCCAGCTTTCTCACTCCCATCAACCACCAGACAGCTTCCAAATGACCCTTGGTTATTTTCAAACACCAAAACTGCCCTAAAAACACAGTGTTAGTCATTAGGGGGAAGGAAATTCACTTGAGAACTTGATAGAAGATACAAAACCCTCTGTAGAAAAACATATCAGCAAACAAATTGCCAATAATTTTGATCGCTAGACTCCAGGTTAGTAACTTCTGCCCTAGAAAGACAAAAGATTTACTACTACCAAGAAAATCCACACATGCAGAGGAGACTCAAAAGAAAGCTTCTGGAGCCAACTACTCTGAAGGGAAAAAACATATAATAGTAAAAGCACTGGATTGGGGGTAAGTCACCTCAAGATTTAGATTTAGATTTGGCTCTGTCACTAACCAGTTTTGGGCAAAGAAGTAACTTTCCTCCTAGTGTAAGTTTTCTCATTTGCAGGGAGGGAGAAAAAGGGACTGAGCTGCATCAATAGTTCCTTGTGTTCACTGGATGAGCAGCATCACATAGGACCTGTTTTAAAAATGCAAATTCCCAAGCCCCACCCCAGACCTATTCAATCAGAATCTCTGGGGGTGGAGCTCGACCATCAGTGTTTTAACAAGCCCTCCTGGGGATTCTAATCCACTGCTCAAGTTCGAAAACCAAGACAGATGATCTCCAAAGTCCTTTCAAGTTCTCAAATTCTATAATTTATTTGAAAAGTATACTCTGGTAAGTTAAAATGCAAAAAAAAAAAAAAAAAAAAAAAACCAATAGTCTCTGTTATATGTTAAAAAATATTTAATTTCTAATAAATAAAAGGTTAGAAATGTCTATTTTTTCTTATATTCCCCATGGGATCCTTACTTTTTTTTTTTAAATAAATACTAAGTATTTGAATCTGTGACATGTGGGCCAATTTCAGCTAAAAAAAGAAAATTCTTAAGCGCAGAGGTAAAGTGGGACAGAAAATACCTGGCTCAGCTTATTTTGAACAGTTACTTTCCTGCCTGCTACTCAAATTATCCTGTGGCTTTAATAACAAAGTAGAGAGGAAAACAACTGGAATTTGTTTTTATCTAAGAATAATAGATACCTCTCTTTCAATTAAAATGTGCTCAAGACACTATCAGGACCTATCAAGTAATAGTAAAAATAACTATTCTACCTTGGTGCTAGCAAAATGCAGAATGATTTTGAAATTAACACAAATGGTTATAATTTTGATGATTCTGAAATGAACACAAATGGTTATGATTTTGATTTCAAATAAGTAGACCAGATATTTGATATTACAGAACTAATTTTATTTATAAATAAACAAGGTATATTAAATAAATAATAAATAAGGAGGTACGATGATGGTATCATAATTATATATAAAATGGGAAGGCCGGGTGTGGTGGCTCATGCTCATAATCCTGGCACTTTGGGAGGCCAAGGTAAGAAGATAACTTGAGCCCAGGAGTGCAAGATCAGCCTGGGCAACACAGGGACTCCATCTCTAAAAAAAATTAAAACAATTAGCCAGGCATGGTTGTGCACACCAGTGGTCCCAGAGGTCCCAGTACCTTGGGTGACTGAGGAAGAAGGATTGCTTGGGCCTGGGTCGAGGCTGCAGTGAACTGTGATTGCACCACTCTACTCCAGCCTGGGTGACAGAGTGAGGCCCTGTCTCCAAAAAAATAAAAGTATCCTTACCTTTTAAAAATCATATACTGACATATTAAAAAATGAAATATGCCACCTGGGGTTTGCTTTAGTATCACTGCGAGTTGAGGTAAGGTGAGTGGGTAGGTGGGAGTAAAAGACACAAGATTGTCTGTGAGAAGAGTTGAAGTAGATACGGGTATGTGTGGATTCATCTTACTGTTCTCTCTACTTGAAATTCTTTGTGCGTTTGTTTTTGGAGACAGAGTCTCGCCCTGTCACCTAGGTTGGAGTGCAGTGGCATGACCTTGGCTCACTGCAACCTCCGCCTCCCAGGTTGAAGCAATTCTCCTGCCTCAGCCTCCCGAGCAGCTGGGATTACAGTGCACGCCACCAGGTCCGGCTTTTTTTTTTTTTTTTTTTTTGTATTTTCAGTAGTAGAGACAGGGTTTCTCTGTGTTGGCAGACTGGTCTCGAACTCCTGACCTCAAGTGATCTGCTCACCTTGGCCTCCCAAATTGCTGGGATTACAGGCGTGAGTCATCGCGCCCAGCCGAAATTCTTTATAACACAAAGTTGAAAATATATAAATCCAATCTAAATACATACTTTTAAGATAAAAAAGCATATAACAGGATCCTGGTAACCAAAGGAATAAACTAGAATGTTAAAATGTTTGCTCATTACAAAGAGAAGCAACATTGTACCTAAATCTAGTATCTTATCAACTTATTACTAAGAAACAAGGATACCATAATACAAACATCCCACTTACCATGAAATCCAAACTGATGGTGAGAGGGCAGAGGATTGTCTAACCCAAGTAACAGTGACTATGAAGTCTCTCACATCACACGAATTTAATAAAAAACACTTTGGGCCAGGCGCGGTGGCTCACTCCTGTAATCCCAACACTTTGGGAGGCCGAGGTGGGTGGATCACCTGAGGTCAGGAGCTCAAGAACAGCCTGGCCAACATGGTGAAACCCTGTCTCTACTAAAAATACAAAAATTAGCCAGGTGTGGTGGTGGATGCTTGTAGTTTCAGCTACTCGGGAGGCTGAGGCAGGAGAATCGCTTGAACCCAGGAGATGGAAGTTGTAGTGAGCGGAGATTGCACCACTGCACCCCAGCCTGGGCAACAGAATGAGACTCCATCACACTCCCCTGCACCCTCCCCTCCCCAACAAAAAAAGAAAAAACACTCTGAGGGGATGATTCCAAAATTCACATTTCTACTTATTTGTAAGCACAGTTTTAAACAACTGGAGTCTTCTAAAATATATTCAGTTCTGTGTCCCAGCACTGTCATTTACAACTGCTTTTTTGTGCATCAAAGGACTAACTCACAGAGAAAGCTGCATGGCAGCACTCTGCAACAATAAAACCTGTGAAACTGGCCCAAACTTCTCACATTATTCAAACATTAAATCTTACTCATAGTCAAATGAAATGGTCACTGATAAATTTCTCCATTAAACTACCAAGTTCTCAAATTTGGTAGTAGCTTTAATGAAGCAGAAAGTGAAATACAGGCTGGGTACACTGGCTCACACCTATAATCCCAGAACTTTGGGAGGCCAAAGCAGGAGGATTGCTTGAGCCCAGGAGTTCGAGACCAGCCTAGGCAAAAAACACTTTTTGTAGAGACCTCATCTCTACAAAAAACTTAAAAATTAGCTGAGTGTGGTGACATGTACCCATGGTCCTAGCTACTTGGGAGGCTGAGGTGGGAGGATTGCTTGAGCCTGGGAGGTTAAAGCTGTTGTGGGTTATGATCGCACCACCGCACACAAGCCTGAGTGACAGAGCAAGGCCCTGTCTCAAAAAAAAGAAAAACAGTTTAGTCTCCCCTCTCACACCAATCACCTGCAACAGTTAACTATAGGCAGCAGTTTTTTAGCCACTAATTACTGTTCACTGATAAAATGATAATGGTCACTACATAAACCAGCAAATCTCTACAGCAGCACTGTCCAACAGAACTTTCTGTGATGATGGAAATGTTCTACATCTCATGCTTTTCAATAGAGTAAATAGCATGTAGCCACATGGTAGCTACTTGATACTTGAAGTATTGCTAAGGAGACTAAAGAACTACATTTTAAATTTTACTTAACTTTAATTCATTTAAATAGCCATATGTGGCTAGTGACTACCATATGGGCATTACATAATGTACTATCCATTATGGTAGTCACTAGCCACATATGGAGCTCTAGAGTACCTAAGAGAAGAAACACATACACGCACATTTCACTTAATATCTAACTCACATTTATTAAAAATTGAAGATTACAGAAAAGCATAAGATTGGTGTCATTAAACAAGCTTAATTAACTTACCTTTGACTAATAAATGAAAGTATTTAATAACACTAAAGGAATTTTGAGAATAAGTTCTATTCCAACCTTAGAAATTAAAAACAAAAACAAAGCAGCTATTCTCCAAAGGAGAAAGCAACCACAGATCTCCCTCTAGTGGCAAAAGATAAAGTTGCTGCTGAAAAGCTGAACTGCTCCTCCATACATAGAACTGCTCAGACATTTCTTTTATAAAATTTTAACTTAAGATTCTAAATCAACATATAAGGAAAATAGATCTATTTTTTGTCGACAAAAATTAGACCTACTGCCCAGTAATAGCATGGATTAAAAAAATTAGACAATTTTCATTTACTATGAATGCTAATCTCTCTAGAAATCTGATCTCTCCAGAAAAAAAATGTTTTGCCAATGACATTTGGGTATCTGGGACTTTCACCAAATAAAAGTTTATAAAGCCATAACCAAACTATGAGCAACAGAAAAGAGAGCAGTTCTCCTCTGTTGGTAAATATTCTGGGATAGAGCATGAAAGGAGCTGACTCAGAAGTATAAAGTAGTAAGCAGCAGTGAGTGGGGTTTGTAACAACTCAGGGTACATCAAAAGAAACAATACATTATAAGAGTTCTTAACCAAAACAACACTTTTCATTCTGGTATTCAGTTTCAAAAGACAGCTCTGCCACATTGCCAGTTTTAATTACAACCATAAACACTCATTTAGATTTCACTATTGAACTACTTTCAAGTACAAGAAGGAACTCAAAATAGAAACGACTTATGATACAACTATTGTTAGTCCCTCACAGCTTCAGGGAAAACAGGCTTTATATACACTGTAGTAAGTACAGAATGTACAGAAGACAGTTATATATACAAAAGTGCATTAATATAGTAATACATTTAGCAGTAATACAGGAAAAAAAAATCCTGGTTAACAATCTGATACATTACAGTATTTAAGACTACTTGAAGATTCTCCAAACCAGTCAACTTTCTACTTGCTTTGGTTATGATATTGCTGCTACATAACTAATCTTTGAAACTAAAAAGCAAAAACAAAAACAAAAACCCACAATTTGAAATTTTTATCCATCTGTGAATTGTTTTGCATATACTTGTTTATCATTAATAGACTTTGACAATAGTCCTTAAATTCCCAACACAAAGATTCAGAATAGATAATACTTATTAAGTGAGAGTACTCAAATAGGAAATTAAATGGATCCACTACAGGGACATTATCTGCTCCATTGCTAAAAGACTCAGCTAGATAACCTAACCACAAATCTCAATTTCAGTCTCAGTTTAAATCCAATAGGTCAGCTACTGTTAAAAGAGCCAGCAGCTTCACAAAACAAGTCATGGCTTCAGGCCACTGTTCCTTATTCAGTTGTTCAATTCAGAATAGTAAGAGTTAACTTGTTATTTATACATATAGTCTACAACTACCTTTACCTAGTCAAAATGTATATGCATAATTAGAGCAAGTCTCCCCTTTTTCACCCCCATCCCTCACCACAAAAATGAACAGATTTCCACACAGGTTTTGTTGGACACAAAGACGCAACAAAGAAATCTGACAATTAAAAAAAAGTACTACATATAGAATTTACAGAAGACCAAACAAGTTTTTCTGAGTTCGGTATGAGGGTCAAATTAAAATTTAATTTGCCATTATATGCTCTAGGTTAAAACACTAATTACCTTAATTTTAAAAATAACTGGAGGGAGAGCCAGAAAGAAAGAATTCTAATGTTAAAAAAAAATAAGAAAATAAAACTTCAGCGAGTCAACTCAGATCTTCAGCAGTACCATGCAACTTCCTCACTCTTCATGGCCAGTTAGAAGAATTTTCAGAGTTCCTTCTAAGCCTTTTGGAATAAGTAAATTATTTTCCAAAGAAATAAGACCTAAGCATTATAAGTAGTTATGTTCCAGATACTATGCTAACAAAGATGCCTAGCTTAAAATATCTCAGATAGTTTTTATTCACTTAGCATAATTTTATTTTTAAGACAAAGTTTATCTTACTTTATCAGACTTAAAACGAATCCAAAGTTACCACAGTACATGTGTATACAAATACTTATTTCCTAACTAATAGTCCTTTCAGAATTAAATTTACTTCTAGTTCAGACATGTTGAATGAGTCAGTGCCCTCAACATCAACACTATTATTTGAATGCAACTGGGGATTTTCCTATTAATTGTCCCAAACTATAAACGGACTGTGAGTACCCTCCACCAATTCCAAACAAATGTTTTTCTTGGAGATAGAAGTGCTAAAAGTTCATTTGTTAAAGGAAAGAAGAGGAGTATGTTCCAGCTATTACACAAATGAATTCAAAGAATTCATAAAGAATCAACTTGCTACATAATCTCTGTCCTTGAAGTGCTTTTGCTTGTACCTTGAAAATTATCTTTCCAGATATTAAAAGTGCTCTGGTTTGAAGAAGTATCCTGGCATATGATCTTTTTCAGAGGAAAAAACATACATTAAGCCATACTTTAGATAACTTTCAAGGCTCTTCAATGATCTAGCTAGGCTGAAAATAAAGTTACGCAAATGAAATTTAAGATTTGAAGGTTTTTGTTTTTATACTCTATTAGCATTGATTGGTTCAATTTAATGACTTTGCTTACTGATACCCAATTCCATGGGCATTATGCAAAACAAATTACAACATTTGGATTGTTTTTGAGTTTTGAAAAGCCTGATATTGACAAAAAGTACAGAGTTCACCACCTTTAAGGCACATGAGGCTATACAGAGTAAGCCACAAACAAAGTCTCTGCTGGAGAACCCAGAAACAAACAAGACTTCTATACTGGTTGTATACTAACATTTCTAGCTAAAATATGAAGACATTTGCTATATTTTATAATTTTTAAAGCTCATCAGAATCTGGATACCTCTATATAGTAGTTTCCTATAATTCTTCCTTTTTGAGAGGATTTAGCACTTTTAAAAGTTAAATAAAATGAGAAGTTCACCCAATCTATAATGTCATTATTTTATAAGTCAGTTTCTGAGATTAATTCAGCAATATCTAATTCACTCAAGGGACAGAGGAACTGGACAAAACTGCCATAGCCTAACAAAAATGAGGTAAGTCTCATGAAAAAAAAGTGTTATTTTATTCTAAGTTCTTGTTGGGAGAGAATGAACTAGCCCTTTATACCTCACTACACATTATAATGCATCACCTTCCTTTAATTCAGTTGCAAAACTATAGAAAAATATTATATATGTCATTTTGTTAAATGCAAGTCTCATCCTTTAAAAAGCTGTGGTAGGAACTGAGATACTACTATAAGATCTCTAATAAAATGTTTCTGGATAAATCTGTGGGAAATTTATTACGCCCTCAGTTAACAAGGCTTATTTTCAAAGAGGAGACTTTTTTTTTTTTTTTTTTGAGACGGGGTCTCGCTCTGTCACCCAGGCTGGAGTGCAGTGGCCGGATCTCAGCTCACTGCAAGCTCCACCTCCCGGGTTCACGCCATTCTCCTGCCTCAGCCTCCCGAGTAGCTGGGACTACAGGCGCCCGCCACCTCGCCCGGCTAGTTTTTTGTATTTTTTTAGTAGAGACGGGGTTTCACCGGGTTAGCCAGGATGGTCTCGATCTCCTGACCTTGTGATCCACCCGTCTTGGCCTCCCAAAGTGCTGGGATTACAGGCTTGAGCCACCGCGCCCGGCCTAAAGAGGAGACTTAAAATTTGCTCCAGTGTCAGTTCTCTACAGATGAGAACCAATACTACAGCAAGTCAGTCTTGCCTTTTTATTAATTAATTGGTTAGTTTGGATTTGAATTTAAAAATAAATACTACTGAGTTGGATTGTTTTAAATTGAACTCAGAGATATACCATATTGAATAAATTATTACTTATTCCAAGAAAGAAATAGTTCAAACTTTGAATTATCTACACAAGACATTACAATGGAAAAAACACACAGCACATGAACAGAGACCTAAGAACTTTTTATGTCTTTTTCTGCTAGTTTCTTTTTTGGGGGGACAGAGGACTATTAAATCTCCCTCTTCAATCACGAGCAAGCCCAAGTTATTTAATGATTTTCTTTTAATCAAATGAAATATTTTCAATCTCCTTCAACCCAACTTTATTACTATCTCTAACTTATAGTACTATAATGACAGTTCATCTGGATTTACACAAAATTTCATGATGCACTTCTATAAACATTCAAACCTTTACAAACTTTAAAAATCAACTTTGTGGCACTTTGGTAAACTTATTTAACAGTGACTCAAGTTAAATTGAAAGTAGTAAGACTATGATTATTGGGAAAGTAGGGAAATTGGTCTTAAATTACATCATGACCTTGTTTAGGGTTTTCTTTTACTGATCCCTGTTAAGTAAATAGTTTCCAAGTATTTGACAGATACATGGTGCTCTATGGTCTCCAAAAGTGGCCTGTTTTCCTCGCAGAATAGGTAAAGATGGCAGGCAATCATTCTGTGGCATTTTACTTTTGCTAAGAGCAGGTAGAGAATTTAGATACAGTTACTATGCTCTCCATTTGCTCTTCCTATACTTGGAAGGGAAAACAGTGAGGTTAAGTTGTTCCACCTCCCCAGAGTATTCTGGTGTCTATCCCCAAGCTCTCTTTGGGTCCTCTAAGCTGGTTAGGAGAACCAAAGAGGGGGAGGGGGAAAGAAAGAAAGACCACTCCAATTGAAAACCATAGACACTTACGTTTTATTTTAGTAAAAATTTCAAATTACGACTTTAGTAGTCTTTAAAAGGTTACAACCATACCATGGACTTTGGCAAAGCTGCAACGTATTAATTTTTATCCCCAGTTTCCATTCTTTAACCTTCAAGGAATGAAAATGAAATCAAAATTTTAAAACACATGATTATAAGCCTTTGTATCAACTGAGAATTAAGAATTTAAGTCATGAATCTTTTTCTTAATAAGCTACTTGACATAACAAAAAGCAAAAAAAAAAAAAAAAAAAAACAGAAATCTTACTAACCTCTGTACTCTAGAGTTTGAAAAATATTGATTACAGCTCTTCCTACAGAATCACGGTCACCTTCAAAATGCTATCCACAATAGAAAGAAAATTATGAAAGTCAGAAAGCAGCTTGATTGTCAGTAGTATCAGTTTCCATCTTCTTTAACCCATGTGAATGTTCAAGACATGTGGTAGAAGAAAAGGAATCACGCTATTTCTAATGTTCATGATAACAAACTCTCTAGGAAAACATTTAAAGAAACTCCATGATTTCACAGTTAAAATTAGAGCTCTATTAATAACCAACAAGCTAAGGTGTTTTCTATATCTCATTGCTCTGTATATTTCTAGCAATTTATAGAGAAGTTTAGCAGATCTATAAGGGTTTTCATCAGTTAATTTTCAACATTAACAAGGTCACATGCCAGAAGCTGTTATACCAAATATTTAAAAATTAGAGCTGTGCTGAAAAAAAAAATGACCTACAATAAGAACTTGAGAGAGATACAGACTGACTTCCTGCCTGAGACAATTTTACAGCCTAAAATTTCTGAAAGCAACAGAAAAGCAGAATTGCTTATTTTGCCTAATTACTTTCACCATTTAAATATTAATCAACATAGCATCAAGTCTAAAATTCAGCTACTAGTAACATTATTTCATCAGTAGTCATCACTTAACAAAAAAGGATTCTAAACTTATATAAAGTTAAAAACAAAAATAAATCTAACAGGAAAAAGATGAGGGCCTGTTCTTATACCTTTGAGTCAACAATGAATGAAAACAGAACTAAAACTAATGAAGGCACTATCGTAAACAGCAATCCACACCTTGCCCACCCCCACACCTCAGAAAAAATTTATACCAGGAATCAAGAATTATGCTATGGCCCTTTAGGAAAAGTAAACTAAGAAATTGTAACATTAAGAAGGGAACGAAATTATGATCTCTACACATGTATGTATACTGACATAATAAACTACTGTCAGCAGTACCTTGAAATCTTCTAAACTGTATAAGTGCTAGTCTTTGAAGAAGCCCACTTCGCCACCATAAACTTCAAACAGTCAAAACGTTTACCCAAAGTAGTGGTTCTTAAACTAGACTGTGCATCAGAATAACCCCGCACTTGTTAAGAAACAATGCTAGGCGCCTCCCTGTTGGTTTCTGATTCACTACGTCTGGGGGTGGGGCCCACAAGTATGCATTCCTAACAACTTCTCAGGTGATGCTGAAGCTGCAGGTCTTGGCACCACCTGTCAAGAACCACTGGCTTAAATTATTAATGGTACATCAGCACAGCCCTAACCAAAATTTTGGTCAAAATGCATGTAAACCAATAAGGATGGAGTATTTTAATGCTCACAAAGAATGCTAATAAATTCACCCTTATTACATCAAAACATCAACATCTGCTTCATGGTCTTCCTCAGTCACTTTCAAGGACAGCACCTCTTCGTTAAGGAAGAGCCCACTGAGCCTCTCCTTCCGGGCCTGCCTCTGCTCCTTCAGCTGCCTCTTGCGGAAGGCCTTCTGCTGTAACTTCCGCTGCTTGGATCGCTTCTGTCAAAATAAAAATTTCTAAATCAGTTTGGTTTAGTTTTTGGCATATCCACCCCAAAATGTTTTGTGGATCAAATTCTCTATGTTCTAACTTTAAGAGATGTTCAAATCCTTCTGTAGTATGATCCTCATTCCAGTAAGTGAGCCACTGGCTTAGGCATAAAAATGATTAAGATTCCAATTTTGTGGTATTTGACCAGTGACTCTTCTGATTAGGAAGGGTTGAGACAATCATTTTGGCTAGTGATGCATAATGAGTCACTTCAAAGACTTCTTTTTAAAATTCCATTAAGGTACATTGGTATAAATGCATACTGAACACACAATTAATACTAGGGGACAATACTGAATACAAATGTAGAGAACATTGCCCAGGTCTCTAATACTTATGATTCTCAGGTGCCTTTCATCCAAAAACACTAGCAATCTTATAATGGCAGGTAAAAAAAATCATGCCTTTTTCGTAGTAGGCGAATACCATCTTAAAAACCCATCAGAAACTCAGTGGGTACTCCCATCCTTGTCACTGGTGAACTGATACTAAAAAGGAATGACCACATATCTAGGGAAATTCCTTAGCAACTAACAAAGCGGGCTATGTTTCTGCTACTTCCCTAAGAACCAGGGAAAGAATCACTGTGTATCTTCAAGTCACCACTTGGTCACCAAAGAGAGAGATTCTCTTATCATCTTTAAACTGGCTCCAGATTCTTGTCACTGCAAGGAATCAAACTCCCCTGCTAAGCCACAGGACCATTCTAAATATACTTATACCTTCTTTTTTTTTTTTAAGTGCCCAACAATATTATACAGAACTTTCTCAACTGTGAAAAGAGTAGACAGAAATTAGAGAAAGTATTAGATTTTTAAATTAGCTAAGAAGAAACATTTAAGATTAAAACATTAAGAAAACATTTAACACACACAAAAGACATACACAACATTCTTAGGAGCTAATAGACAGCAACATCAGCAACATAGTGAGATTCGCTCAGTAGTGAGTTGCAGTCAATATTGCAATCTTGAGAATAACTCATTATTTCCACCAATTTATCTTACTTAAAACATACACAAAAATCAGGTAAGATTGAATGCAATATGGTTGTGGGTCAAAACAGCATTTCAAAGCACTCAGCCAAGAGTGCTTTGTTCAACAGCAGAGCATCCTGCTTGTTCAATTAAGACCAAAACCCACAGGCATCTAGACAGCAGGATCATTTTAACTCTTCAAGAAATTTATATGAAGGAGTACTAATGTTAATATTGAAAGGTAAAGTTTTGTATTGATTAGACGTTTTACTTTTGAATCCCGAATCCGCTCTGCTGCACTTGCAGACAGGTTGCTGTCACTGTGTGCTCGACTCATGTTGGCACTGGAGTTTGAAGCAGAGTTTCCAACACTGGACCCACTGCTGCTTGCAGAACTGACCATGCTGGCACTGCTGCTGCTGGCGCTGGCACTGGCACCGCTCACTCCACTGGTGCTTGCACAACTAAAGTTGCTTCTCTTCCAGGCCTCTCTTGCAGGCCGTTGGCGAGGGCTATGCTCCTTGATATAGTTCCTGACCTTGGGAAGCACAACCACAAACTGGTTAGTGTTGCACCTTGATGTTCTACCTTCAAAATGCTGGGGGGACAATAATATTGTACTTAATCTGAAAGACTGTCAAAAGTGCTGCAGATGCATATATAAGGTAGAATAGAAAGGCTAAATTTAGAAATAAGTACTAGAAAAATGAACAATGTTCAAAATTCTAGAAAACATGTTATAGATCTGGATTTTAAAAGCACATAAAATATAATCAGTAAATGGAAGGCTACTCGCCTTCAGAAATTTAGGACTGTAAAAAAATAGCACTCAAAATACAAACTGACAATAAAATAACATAGATGAGATTAGGCAGTTGTTAAAGGTCTCCATTTAAGATAATTTAAGTAAGCTGCTGATTTTATATAAGATTAGGGTGTTTCCTAAATCTTAGCTAAGGGCCAACGATACCTGTCTTCATATGCAAGACATCAATTTATCATACTAATGAAAAATTTGCTGGAATGTAGAAAATTATAGTATGTCTGCTGGGAGAAATACTGAAATGAGAGAAATTTTTCATAAATAATGATAAATGCAAAACAAAGAAACAAATCCAAAGTAGAACGTAAGAACATTAAGTATTCATTCAACTACATACCAGAGAAAAAGAACAGCAAAAATTGTATTTAGAAGATACCAGAGGCCAGGCGCAGTGGCTCACGCCTGTAATCCCAGCACTTTGGGAGGCTGAGGCAGGTGGATCACGAGGTCAGGAGTTCAAGATCAGCCTGGTCAAGATGGTGAAACCCCATCTCTACTAAAAATACAAAAATTAGCCGGGTGCGGTGGCAGGTGCCTGTAATCCCAGCTACTCAGGAGGCTGAGGCAGGAGAATCGCTTGAACCTGGGCAGTGGAGGTTGCAGTGAGCCGAGATATCGCCACTGCACTCCAGAGTGAGACTCCGTCTCAAAAAAATAAATAAATAAATAAATAAGGGGGGGAAGAAGAAGAAGATACCAGAGATGCAGATTTCAGAACAGCAGAGGGAAAATTCACTAGGTTTCACCCTAGCCTGGCTCAATTATTACAGCATAAAACTACTCAAATCCCTCAGCTCAGATATTTACCAAAGAATAGCTCTCATTAATTAGTATTTTGTCGATTAGTCTCCTGTAAACTGAGTTAGAATAAATCTATACCTTAACCTAACCACCTCATAAGTGGTAACATTACATTTCAAATCCTATACAACTGAAAAGCAGGTTCTAGATTCACACTGATCCCAGAAAGGTACTGGCAGGTGAGATGTACATAAAACCTCTTAAATCAATGTGCCATCGTTTTTTCTAATATTACCTTTCACAGCAGTGATTTTGGCCTTAATTATCTATGTATTTACGTATGATTATTTTAGTCTACATTTTATAAGATGGTGGTATTTTTAATAGGTAAATAATCTGTATTTTCTTTACATACCTGCTTCAGTTTTTCATCTGTGAGACAGTTAAGTTCAATAATAAACTCACTGTCTGTAGGGGAGATTTGAGCAGAAGGATCAATGATCTTAATAATATCAAGTTGCTCCCGAAGACCCATCTCAGTACTCACTTTCCGACTCAGATACTCAATATATTCCACCTATGTGATGAAAAAATTACAAATAAGATCATTGCTAAAACTTCTGATCCTTCATTATGTCAATTATAATGTGTTTACATATCAGAAGCAATTAAGGTTTTATTTGTTCCCTGAAAAACAGTTAAAGCTCAAATTCAGATTTACTAAGCAATCCACATTTCCCCAGTAGCTTTAAACGGGCAATAAACTGAGCTTTACCTAGTCTCCACATAAAAGCTTTTAATTAAGAATGTTAAGATCTTTACCTGCTCATCATTTGTCATTGCACTCCAAGGAAGTTCATCTAAATTCCGGTGCTTGTTTTTCTTTTTAGGAAGCAGGCAAGGTGAACTTGGAATACTGGGTATGACATCAGAAAGTACATCACTCCCACTGGCAATGTCACTGCCTGGTAACTTTATAAAAATAAGGAGGGTGTGGGGAGGGAAAGCAAAATTGTTTCACACTACATTTTAAATACTACAGTATATTTTCCACATCAATTAAAAGTTACTTTATGAGATTGACATGCTGCGGGCTATGCTAAGAGGGCTTCCTTAAAAGTTCATTTAATGTAAGACTAATGGCAGCCGGGCATGGTGGCTCATGCCTGTAATCCCAGCACTTTGGGAGGCCAAGGCAGGGGGATCACCTGAGGTCAGGAGTTCGACACCAGCCTGTCCAACATGGTGAAACCCGGTCTCTACTAAAAATACAAAGATTAGTCGGGTATGGTGGCATGTGCCTGTAGTCCCAGCTACTCGGGACACTGAGGCAGGAGAATCCCTTGAACCCGGGAGGTGGAAGTTGCAGTGAGCCAAGATCGTGCCACTGCACTACTCCAGCCTGGGAGACAGTCAGATCCGTCTCAAAAAAAAAAAAAAAAAGACTAATGGCAAATACAGAATTACAGGACATTAATTCTGATCCATGCCTATTTTATACAAAGCAGCAACATAAATATATAAATATATATTCTTTGCATATAGTTATTCAATGAAAGATGTTTTTGAAAAGCTTAGACTTGTAATCAAGACTTATTAAAATGGTAACTGAAGAGTCAATCATCATTAAAGTTTTTAATGTATAAAGAGAATATGACTAGGGCCTCCACACTGTAATGAATAAGAAGCACTGGTATCCATCTGGGGAGACCTGAATGATGTGCCACTAACTGGCTTTTTGCCAGAGACTGTGCTAACCATACTGTCAATATAAAGACAAATACATCTTGGTCCTTGTCCTCAAGTCTGTATCAGTGACCTCAAGACAATTAAAATAAATTAAGGCTGGGCAAAGTAGCTCATGCCTGTAACCTCAGCACTTTGTGAGGCAGAGGCAGGAGGACTGCTAGAGCCCAGAAGGACTGCTTGAGCCCAGGAGTTCAAGACCAGCCTAGGCAATGTGGCGAGACCCCATCTCTCTAAAAAAAAAATAATAATAATAATAATCATGCCTGTAATTCCAGCACTTTGCAAGGCTGAGGCGGGAGGACTGCTTGGGCCCAGGAGTTCAAGAGCAGCCTGTCCAACATAGCGAGGCCTCATCTCTATTTAAAAAAAAAAAAAAAAAAAAAAAAAAAAGGAAAGGAAAAAAAATTAGCTGGGTGTGGTGGCACATGCCTGTAGTCTGAGGTGGAAGGATCGCTTGAACCTGGAAGGTTGAGGCTGCAATGAGACATGTTTGTGCCACTGCATACCAGCCTGGACGACAGAGTGAGACTCGGTCTCAAAAAATAATTTTAAATATGCTGTTAATATAAAGCAAAACACTTTTAAGAACCAGAAGTATTATAAGAGAAAAATTAGAAAACATCATAGAAGACAAAGTGTAGACAAAGGAGAAATAAAAGCAAGCCTAACATACAGAAAATAAAATCAATTTAAGACAAACAGCAAAAATATGTGCTATAATTATATATTTATGTATATTTTTGCACATGTGCATATACTCATGTAACCACCACCATGACCAAGGTAATAAATATATCCATTACCTCCAAAAGTTAGAATGGATTTAATTTTAAATAAATGTATTTAAGTCATTCATCAAAAAAGTAAAGTCTTTTCTTCTACAAGGAGCACATGACAATTTTCAAACATACTGGCTTCATTTTTACAAGGTATAAAACAGCACCTTTTTGCTGTGTTTTGGTTCTATAGAGCTTACAACTGTATCTGAACTCTGGATGATTTCTAGGCTTATGCGGTTACCAAAAAAGTGAAGAGCTACTTTAGTCATGAAGACTATTGCGATCACACGTATTTGAACTCCTACTTTGTACACAGCAGTATAATAGGTACAGGGGATTCAAAGGAGTGTTAAGTCCCTACACAAAAATTTTACTTGGGAAAGTAATACAATAACACAGACATACAATTATACAACACAGCACATGATGAATGCTAGGTTTCAGACCACACGTCATCAATGGAAATATCTAGCAGTGGGTTGAAGCTGCAGGATTAAAGTTTGGGAGAGTTGCAATGGACTGCAGGCAGGCACTGGGGAATCAATCGCAAAGAAATAAATGAAACCACAAAGATAGGAGTCAATCACTATGCAAAAGATGACTATGATGTTTAAAATGAAATTGTCTAAGAGAGAGGCCATTCTTTCTACATCCCCATAAGTAGCTACTACTCTTAAAAACTACATTTTCACTATGACAGTTGTTGACAAGTCCAAGTACATAAGTGACTACCAACAATCTGTATAACTTATTTTAAAATCTCATTAACGGCTGGGCGCAGTGGCTTACGCCTGTAATCCCAGCACTTTGAGAGGCGGAGGTGGGTGGAACACCTGAGGTCAGGAGTTCGAGACCAGCCTGGTCAACATGGCAAAACTCCATCTCTATTAAAAATACAAAAATTAGCTGGGTGTGGTGGTGCGCACCTGTTATCCCAGCTACTCAGAAGGCTGAAGTAGGAGTATCATTTGAACCTGGGAGGCAGAGGTTGCAGTGAGCCAAGATCGTGCCACTGCACTCCAGTGTGGGAGACAGAGCGATCATCTCAAAACAACAACAACAAAAAAACCCATAAAATCTCATTAACTAACACTGCTTGAACTGTTCACCCTTCACCCTAATTGTTATCTAGGTGGTGTTATGAAAGGATGATTGCTGAATACACATATGAATGCCATCTCTTTTTCAGCCTGTAATTGCAAAAAAGAAAATGCTTTGCTATTTTCCCTTTGACTTCAAATCTCTCTGTGGCCCCTAAAAAAAAAAAAAAAATTAGACACTTCTTATCAGACAAAAGGCCTCCCCTCCCCTACATCAAGCTCCTTTGATAAATGAGGTAAATGAAAGAACTCTTGAAATACCTGTATTTTCAAAATATAAGAAAAAAATTCACCTAAATCTTGGAGAATATCTGCTAGGCACTTAAATTTGTACCTTTACTTCTGTCTATGCATTTGTTGGGGAGGGAGGGGTGTAAAAAAGCTAAGTAGTGGTACCTTGGCCATTTTTTCAGGGATAAGTAAAAAGATCCCAGAGTTCAAATCCCAGCTCCACTGCTCACTAGCAGTGTGACCTTGTATAGGTTAGTTTATTTCTTTGAGCCTCAGAGTTAGCAGTAAAATGTGGTCAATATCATCAATCTCAAAGGATTGTTGAGTGGTTTAAATGTGGTAACATGCCTGGCACACAGGCAACACTCAATAAAGAGATGTACTTTTCTTTTTCCATCCCTTGCCATGGTTTTGGACCCTTAAAAAAGTAGCACAATCTCTCAGAGAATGTCACATGTTGCTAAAGTGCTTGGGTTAATCTCACATGGTAGTGTTTCAGAATGATAGGGGAAAAAGGAAAAGACATTCAGGTAAGGAGAATAATTTAGTAAAGTCATAGATGGAAAAAAACATAGTATGAGGTGACATATATCCTAGATATCATGTAATCATATGTCAGTATGATTAACACAGAAAATCAGTGCTAGGGATTTAAAAGTTCAACAGAAGAACCAGAAACCGTCATATGATATGTAGAAGTAGGCCGATAACATTTTCTAAGAAGTAACTTGATGAAACTGGTCTTTAGGGAAGATCAGCTAGAAAGCACTATGGGGACAAAATAGAGTGAGGAAAGACTAGAATTAGATAGGAAGCTCTTGTAATCTAGGCGTGGATGAAAATAAGCAAAAATGGAAAGAAAAATGGGAATAGATAGGACAAATGTAACATGAAAATTTACAAAGCTGGGCGCAGTGGCTCACACCTGTAATCCCAGCACTCTGGGAGGCCAAGGCGGACAGATCACGAGGTCAGGAGTTCGAGACCAGTCTGGCCAATATGGTGAAACTCCGTCTCAATCAAAAATACAAAAATTAGCCAGGTGTGGTGGCATGCGCCTATAGTCCAAGCTACTCAGGAGGCTGAGGCAGGAGCTTCGCTTGAACCCAGGAGGCAGAGGTTGCAGTGAGCCAAGATCGCACCACTGCACTCCAGTGAGGGCAACAGAGTAAGATTACATCTCAAAAAAAAAAAAAAAAAAAAAAAGAAAGAAAAACAATTTACAAAGCTGTTTGATAACTGAATGGATAAGGTAATAAAGTATCTCATGTTGAGACCAGAAAAAAATTGGTGACATTTCAGGTCACACAACCCACCCAGAGTGATACACTTAAAGACCGCAATTTTCATAGCAAGGTAACTGAAAGGATGTTACAGATCTTCTAGTCCAACATCCTCATTTTACATAAAAGAAAAAAATGATGTCTGGGGAGGGTCATACAACTAGTGGCAGAATCCAAAGTAGGACACCAATCTAATGCTTTCAACTATGCTAAACAGTTTTGCCTGTCTGGCAAGTTTGTAATAAGCGACGAATACAATTTGGGATATAAAGGGTTTGTAGTGATAATGGGAGAAGCAAGCACAAGTGTCCTTTGGACAGACAATAATAATTTTTTACTAAGTTGTAAGACATGTCACTAAGCAGAGTCTATTTTTTTCCATGGAAACATTGTAATTGGAAGTTGCAACACTGCATCAAGGACTCAGCATCAAATAATGGGTTAGTATTAAATATTAAGGTCATCTAAGTGGAAATGTCAAGTAGACAATTGGAGATACGAGATTAGACTAGCGGTTGTATCGGAGAATTGTATGGGCTCCTGTATATTTATTAGACCAGCAATTTTCCATTTTATAACTGATACTGTATTTCAGAATAAATGCTTACTAGCTCCCAGCCCATATTTTTCATGGGCAATATTTGGCATATTTATATTATGATCAGTAATTGTGAAACACAGGGAGACTTAAATCTCTGCCATATTTTCTGCAGAATGCAGCAGAATTTTATGAGTAAGCTCATTTCTGTAACAGCTGATGTGTAATTTCAGAGTGCACCTCTAGGTTTCAAGTGTGACAGCTGATTACTCACTGTTTAAATTTTCTAAGC